GCGACCCGGTGACAGCGTGAGAGGTACCCAATTTGACAAGTTGGCATCATGCGTGAGTATAAGTCAGTCGTTCTTGTCTCAGGAGGCATTGGGAAGCCTGCTCTGACTGTACAATTTGTTCAAGGAATTTTTGTTGAAAAATATGATCCTATGATAGAAGATTCTTACAGAAAGCAAGTTGAAGTAGATGCACAGCAGTGTATGCTTGAAATTTTGGATACTGCAGGATTGGAACAATTTACAGCAATGAGAGATTTATACATCAAAAAATGGACAAGGCTTTTCTTTAGTTTATTCCATCACCACACAGTCCACATTTAATGATTTACAAGATCTGAGAGAACAGATTCTTCGAGTTAAAGACACTGATGATGTTCCAATGATTCTGGTTGGTAATAAATGTGACTTGGATGATGAAAGAGTTGTAGGAAAGGAACAAGGTCAAAATCTAGCAAGACAGTGGAACAACTGTACATTCTTAGAATCTTCTGCAAAATCAAAAATAAATGTTAATGAGATCTTTTATGACCTAGTGCGACAAATTAACAGAAAAACTCCAGTGCCTGGGAAGGCCCACAAAAAGTCATCGTGACAATTGCTTTAATATACTAAATGCATTGTATCTCTGAGCCAGGTCTGAAGAACTGTTGCCCAATTCAGCAGTGCCAGCATTCCAACTTTGTTAAACCTACCAACATCTTAAATGGACTTGCCTGTGGTGGTACCCCGTAAGAGGTGGATGAAAGCTACTCTGTCAGTTTGCACATTCTAATCATTTCCCAGTATCGCAAGAGAGATTTTTACTTCTATAATAGTCCTAGAGTATACAGCTGGTAAAACCTGAGGCCACATCCAGTATTACTGCTAAGAGACATTTCTTCATCCACCAATGTTGTACATGTATGAAAAGGGTGTACTGTATACTTTAACACACCCCATACTATGCACTGGAGAGTACAACAGTGTAAATCCTAAAAGCACCACTATTTTAGCATAATAAAAGAAAGTTCAAAGAGCTCCTACATAGACTACTCCAGATAACTTTGCTTCTTTGATACTTGTAGCTTATTGTAATATTTTTAAATCAAGGTCATTATCATTGTATTGTACAAAATAACTGCTTTGATTAACACAGCTATGTAGTTTTTTTAATTTTTCAAAAACCTGTGGAGACAGTGATCTTGTCTTTAAAATATGATAGTCCTTTCAGTATGTCTTAGATTAAAGACATTGCCTTTACTATCTGTTGGGAAGGAAACATCCAGACTTTTCAAATTTCCTTATTATATATGTGTCCTTTTTTGTTTACATAAGGAACAATGTTTATTGTTGTGTGTACAGTGGGTGTCTACAACAAGAAGTATATATTTTTGAACAATTTTTTAATGATTTAACAATTTTTGTAAATCATTTTCAGGCTTCTGCAGCTGTAGATTCTCACTGTGAAGCCCTTGCTTGCTCATGCATAAGTGTATTTGCAATACCAAATATACAGGTTTAGTATTTTTGCCTGTTAGTGGTTGTTTCACACGTGTAACATTTTGGTTGAGATGTTAA